TTTTTTGGGGGTATAGCTTTGCAACTGCTTTGAAAGGTAAGCTGCCTTTTTACAGCTGCCAAAAGCTGCCTTTTTACAGCTGCCAAAAACCTTTGAAATAGGCAGTTGTGCAACTATCTTTTTGCGGTTGCCTTTCGGCCTTTTCGATGGTAGGCTGCCTTTGACTATCGCTGCCTTATTTCTAGGACACGGACCAAACTGGCAGCTCGAGGCGACACTTGAAAATGAGGCTCGATCTGAACCTCGACTCGGTTCCAACGAGTCGTGAGTCGAGCTCGTTCGAGATTTTTTAGAACCGAGTCGTGAACTGTTCGAGTCGACGAACCGAATTAACATCCACACCATAATTAGCATCAAGAAAAACATGTATCATGATGAAGGAGAAAAAGTTTCCCATGTGAGAAAAAGGAAATTGTACCGTGCACAATCATAAGGAAAACAAGACAAGTTAATAATTGTTAAAAAGTAAAAATTGTGATGTGAATATAATCACCCTTACTTAAAAATGTATTGAAGCAAATAATAGGTTGAAGCAAATGATAGATAGATTTGAGCAATGGATAAAATCCTAAAAAATGGGCTGATAAAAAGAAGGAAAAATTGCAGCAGAGACCTCAAACCTTTAAAATATTAGTAGACATTTTTCAAACCTTTAATTTGTTGCAACCATCACTCCAAACTTTTCAAAATGTTGCGGCGAAGGCCCTTTTTGACGGTTTTTATCCAAATGTCTGTTAGTTGACTAAGGAATTTGACTTTGATCATATTTTTAATATTTTTAAAAGGGTAAAATAGTAACTTTCCATTTATTATGTTAAAAATGTTGGAAATTAAATTTGAAAAAAAAAAAAAATTAGAAAAAAAAAAAAAAAAACTCAATCGTCTTCTTCCCCCCACCCCAACCCAAACCCAATATCTCTACCTTCCGACCACAGCCACCTCCACCTCAACCTCCATCCCCAACCATAAAAACCCAAATCATAGTATAACCCATAGAAATATGAAGACAAAGAATCAAAATGTAATACACATATCTATGGTTCGAATTGAAACAGGTAAGCTGTAATTCGATGATCCATACAGAAGATTATAATTCATTCTTTGACAGTTTTTGTCTCATGGACGACAAGAGAATTAAAACTTTTAATGTACAGAAATGAATCGCAGCTATTGAACTTCAAAGCTTCTCTCCGACAAAGTCTTTACATTTTCATTTGTCTCTACAAACCCTGATTGTCTCTTTCTCTCTCTGTATCTTTCATTCATCCATTTCAATCTTTTTATTTTAGAGATAGAAAATGTGAGGATCAAACCGTGATCATGAATTTTATAGAGAGAAAATGAATGCTGTTGGAAGGCAGAAATATTGAGGTGGGGGGAAGAAGACGATTGGGTATTTTTTTTTTCTAATTTCTTATTTTTTCAAATTTAATTTCTAACTTATTTTTAATGTAATAAATGGAAAGTTACTATTTTGCCTTTTAAAAATATTAAAAATATGTTCAAAGTCAAATTTCTTAGTCAACTAACAGACATTTGGATGCAAACCGTCCAAAGGGCCTTTGCCGCAACGTTTCGAAAGATTCGGGGTGACGGTTGCAACAAATTAAAGATTTGGGAAAAGCCTGGTAATGTTTTTAAGATTTGGGGCCTCAGCTGCAATTTTTCCTAAAAAGAATGTTTGATCAGTCGCCCAAACAGGAAACTCGTGAGATGCCGGTGGTCCTATATTTATTATTGATGGAAATCAATTAATTAATATTATTATTAAGAAGAATTTACATCCATAAAGCTTTGACATGCAAACTTTTGATTATTTTGTCATATCCATTAGTTTAACTAAAAGAAAAATGTGACATTGTAGTTTTGTTAAATGCGGCTTCTAACTAGATTGACATATCACAATTTTTGTCAATAAAACTAATAGACACGGATGGAATGATCAAAATTGTAAAATATATTTAAATTCAGTAACTCTATTGAAATAAAATATAAGTTTAGTGACCAAGTAGGAACAAAATAAAATTTAATGACCCAATACACTCAATATTGAAGTCAATGTTCAAAGCTCTTGGTCTAGTTTATTCATGATTTATTGGAACATACCTTACAAGCAAAAATAATGTTCAAAAGAATTATATTATATAGATAATGCAACTAAGTTGATTGAAATGGTGATAACCTAGTACTCTTAGTAACGTTAAAGAAATATGAAAATTTTAAACTAAACTTCATTTCCTTAAAAATATTCTTTGCTCAAGAGAGTTGATTAAATTTTAAGATAAATTACATTGTGCGTCTTCAACTTTTTCATTCCATTTAATTTTTATTCCTTTGCATTTACCAACCTTTTCGTTTGCACAAATGTTCCCTCCTAACGATTTCCATCCAGTTTTTTGTCAATGCCGCACAAAATGACAAAAATGACATCTCTACCATTTAACTTAAGTAAATGAAAGAGAAGAAAAATAAAATAAAATAGGAAAGGGTTCCTAATATTTTCAAAAAGTGCAAATAGATCATGACAACCGCTGTAAAAATGGCATGAAATTGTGTTTGTCTACTTCAATTGGTTAGGTGATGAATAAGATGTAGTAGATGTTGAAGACGGTTGTCAACATCTATATCAATTAATCTAAAAATCAAATAGTAGCATAATTGTAATGTTATGTAGAGACGTAAAAAAAAAAAAAAAAAAAAAAACATTTATCTAATAATATTACGTAGAAATTCTAAGTCAAAATTATATTTTAGTTTCATATTAGTCACTATGTCATTAACTTCAAAATCTGCACGATCTACTAGTAATTACAACTTTACAAACTCTAGATTCTTGAAAAAATTTCCAAAATTGAAAAACATGGAGAGACCAGGTCGAGTAAAAAATATTGACAGTCGAATGCTTGATGAATATAGTGACTAAATTGTGAAGTTAGTGTAGATATGGGAAAAATGTTAAAACTTCAATAACATATAAAATGGAAATGGGAAAATTGCGGTGAGGGTCTTTGACCTTTTCAAGAAGTATAAATGAGTCCTCGCCCATTCTCAAATCTTAAGAGCGCCATCTTCAATGTTCACAAGTGAAGCTGGTTGAATAGTTTTGATCTAAATTGTCATTAGGCAGAAGATTTAGCTTTCCTTCTTTCTTTTTTTTTTTTTTTTAATTAAAACTATCTTCACTTTTTAATTTACGTCACCATATTCTATTCAAAAGTGTTACCAAATTATCTCACTTCTTCTTTGAACGAATTTTGAACAATTCAAGTATTCTTGCCAAATTAGGAAAAGTTAAAGAGAATGTCCAGTCCATCTAGACACTATTTCTCTCCATTTTTTTATTTTTTATTTTTGCATAAATTTCGAGACATCTGGACATGCTTGTATAAATGACATTTTGATAAGGGCACTATTATTCTGCATGAATGAATAAAAAATATCTAATTTTTTTTTTTTTTTTTTTTAACATTAGACATACACTAGTCCTAAAAGTTTCCATCAACACAAAACCTAAAGTTCCCAACTAATCAAGTGTTATCAACCAATAGTTGTCGCCGGCATGTCTCTCTCTATCACTTTTGAATAATAAGCACGTCTGATTTAGTTAAAAAAGTTGATAAAAATCAAAGTCAAAATCAAAATTAATTTTAATAGCACGTTTCTTTGGATTCACAACTTTTATCAATTTTTTAACCATATATTTCATCGAAATTTATGATCTTTAACGAAATCAAACATGGGCTAAGAGAGATTTCAGTAGGGATGGGGTCTTTACAAGTTACCTTTTGCATTGAAGTCTCTTTTATTCTTTTGCTTTCTTTGCCATGAAAAACTTTTGTGAATCTAGGCCACCAAACAAAATCCACATCTTCGTATTAGGTGAAAAGCCGGAGTTATCATAAAGTTTTCAAACAAGATTCTGTCAAAAGAAACAACTGAAAGAAATTACAAATTATTTTTCATCAAGTAATTTTCTTGGTGAAGGTGGATTTGGGCAAGACCACTTTTAAAGGATCCTAATAAATATTAATGTATCCGAGACTGGAAATTCAACACATTCCTTCACAATTCTCAATTTATTTATACGAGAAAAACGTAGAAAATTCCTCCAAATATACCCTAATCTTTATCTCATTTATATAAGTTACTTCAGTTAACAAATTTATGCAAGATCAGAGCTGAGGGTTGTCTGGTTACTTAATCCATGGACTGGAAAGCTAAAATTAAGCAAAACTATTATGCAGCAAATTTCTATGATTCTTTTCCAGTTCATTATGTTGTTTACATGCCAAGAAAGATATGAAATGTCGAAGAAAAATGTAAAACCTTAAGAGGATAGCAGATTGCTATTTTCTGGTCTGGTCTGAAGAATTAACGCAAAGCCATCGAGAGAGAGTCTTTCGCGGGTAGCAGTATCTCAACTACAACTGGAGAAGCGGGAGATTTTTTTTTATGTCTTCCTCTCTTACAGCATAATTATGATGACTTAAAGATGTAAAATTTGACTGACTAAAACCAAGAAAGACAAGACAAGAACATAAAGGAGAATAAAGAATTTAATACAATACTATCTTAGAACAAATCAAAAGTACAATTTGCACAAGAATGAGTTGTATACAATTGCATTAACAATGTGCAATAATAGATCGAATATCTCACATAATTCATTGACAGATAAATTTTTACGATCAACCCTTAGAATATATTATTCTGACTCTTTTAACCCTCTGAACTTGCTCGGGATCAGATATTGGATTCGCCTCATTCTCCGAGAAAGTATTCTCCTTGTTGTCTTCAGCCTTAAGTGTTGATTCTGTGCTCGACCTCTTTGCACTTGCACTTGCTTTCTTGACAGAAACCATAAGATTGTTTATCTTTTCATGGGTTTCTTTCATATTTCTTGCGCACTTTATCTTGGACCTTTCGCGGTCCTGATTAAGCTTCATGTACTTTTTATTCAGACGCGACTTTACGGTGGCTAGGTAATCTTCAATGGAGGTCGACTCGTTCTGATTTTTTTTCAGTTCCTCTGCCATTCGATCCACGGCCTCCATATTTGATTTCAAAGAATGATATTTCATGTCAAATTCATACATTTTTTCCTCACAATCGAACAGGACTTCTTCACATTCAGTTATCTGCCGCAGCACAGCATCCAGTAAAAACCTGGAAAACTCAATATCCAATTCCGGGTGATCCTTGAATATAACAGAAACCCTCTCACGAACCCGATCAATGTCCTTGTATTTCCGAAAACCATTAACAGCATCAAGAAACGATTTAAACTTGTAATCATCCTGCAATGTTTCCGCAACCCAATTCACAAATTCAATACAGGATTTTGTTTTTTCCCTTCCAACCTCATCGGATGAATTTCTTGACGTTGTTGAAGCAGAAGCAGAAGCAGCAGCAGTATCTTTGTCCCTCCGTAAAATCTTTGGCACAAAATTGAGGAATTGTGAAATCAAATCCGGATGACCGCTGAACAAGTTCTTCACCTGTGAAATTACACTTTCTGGCTCTGTAAATTCTCTTCTGAGCCTTTCACAAAGATAACGAAACTCCCGATAAATGCTTTCTTGATCGTGAAACCGTTGCTTCACAATATCAACGAACGACAGGGCATTGTCGAAATTGGGTTTAAACGCCATAATTTCTCAATAAAGGAATAGCAATGACATGAACAGAAAATATAATTTGTAATTGGAAATTGCCATATTCAGACATATATAGGAATTTATGAAGTCGAGTTCTAATTGAATAAGGCTAAATCAGAATGTGAGAAGATTCTCTAATAATCTTACTTCAACAGGGTTTCCTTAATTGATCCTGAATTTCATTTTATAGGATTTTATGAAGTCGAGTTCTAATTGAACAATGCTAAAATAGAATGGGATTAAGATTTTCTAGTAATCTTACTTCAATAAGGATTCCTTAATGGCTCCTGAATTATTGTACTTTCGTTGCCTAAATCCGTCGAGGAGTCATAGATGGATAATAAGGGCGTAATTGAAAGTTGAAACAATGGGAGAATTGCATAGTTGGTCATCAATGTTATTCCAGAGTTTAAAATGGTCCACAACCTACTCAATAAGAGCAAGTTGAGTCTCAATCTTCTAAATTAGTACACAATCAATCTCTGCACGAACGAACAATTCAGTTAGGAGTGGCAAAAAGATAAAATCAGGTTTGAATCCATTTACTTATTTATTTATTTTTCTAACATTACTTTTTTTTTATTAGTACTGCATAAAATAAAATAAATAAGAGATGAGATAGTGAGCATATTCCCTTCCAATTCACCAATGTGGTAGAAGATTGTCATCCCTATATTCAGGCCCTGTTTGACATCCATTTTTATCAAAATGTATTTTTCTCTCTCTTCTTTTCAACCACATATTCTTTATTAAAATAATATTACACGTAAATCAAAAATTTTTTCTTATTTTTCAACCACACATTTCCCATCAATTTACTATTCAAAAATGCATTTTCACATAAAAATTCCTACCAAACACCCTCTCAATTTTATATAAAATTGGTATTTAAGTTTCAATGTCTAGATTTTTTTAGGTAAAATCATTTTTATACTCAATTTTAATTAAAAGATGAGAAGAAAATGGGTGAGGGGGCAGGGGAATGGAGAATAATTTGAGGCTAATAAGAGAGATCAGTCAAAAATTAAGAGCAGAACAGCAAAATATTAATTTAACTTAAATTCTTGATAATAATAACAATTGTTGACTCTTTGGGATCCATCGCGTTAGCAGGGGCGAATTTAGGTGGTGGCCAGCTAGGTAGCCGTCCTAGCTGGATTCATCAGGGAATTTTTTTTGTTTGATAATAGATAAAAATTTTAAATTATATAAATGGTAGTTCATCTTATTTTCAAATCCTTCTTTTGCCTAGTTGGTTAGAGCTTGCAATTATTTATTGTGAGTCTTTGGTTCGAGTCTTTCTTGTCGATTTCATTGCACAAAATTTTTATTTTTACAATATTTACCAAAATTAATTTCCTAAGGAAAGAATTCAAACCTGCGACCTCTACTTAGGATAATAGAAGCTATCCTAGCTGGATTCATCAGGGATTTTTTTTTTGTTTGATAATAGATAAAAATTTTAGATTATATAAATGGCAGTTCATCTTATTTTCAAATCCTTCTTTTGCCTAGTTGGTTAGAGCTTGCAATTATTTATTGTGAGTCTTTGGTTCGAGTCTTTCTTGTCGATTTCATTGCACAAATTTTTTATTTTTACAATATTTACCAAAATTAATTTCCTAAGGAAAGAATTCAAACCTGCGACCTCTACTTAGGATAATAGAAGCTCAACCATTATGGCAATAGTTGAGTTTTGAATTAAAATTAACAAAATAATATATGTTAAGACTCCAAGCGAGTCAATGACTTTTTTTTTGTTGGTTTTTGTCGTTTTAAATATTTTATACTTTAATAATTTATAAGATATTACTTATTAGTATTGAGTTTTAATTTATATGTTATTTGAGAATTTGTTTACTATAAATTATGATATTAAAAATTAATTTGAGTATTGTGAAATGTGAATATGTAATTTATAAAAATTGAAAATTAGAAATTGGGGAATTTATAATTTGTGATGAATTGATGTTGAGAATTGGAAATTGAAACTTTAATTATATTTTAAAAGTAATTTTAATTACGTTTAATCTTTAATTAACTTTCAATTCTCATACATATTATGGAATGATTTTTTTTCAACTGAATCCCATTCTAGTTCTTGTAGTGGTGTATCTAATCTCTCAACTACTTTTAGTCAAGCAAACGATTTGTTAAGTATTGATAATTCAAATAAGTCTTATGTAACATGTAATTTATACTATTTCGGATTGCATTGAACTATAATACAATAAGAATATACGATTTTTATGTTTTATTGTATTTATATATAGATCGAAGAAAATTTAATATTATTTAATTTAATATTAATAAACGACATCGCTATATAGTTGTTGACTATCGACAATCAACATCCAACGATCAAGGATCGTCCTAACTGAGTCGAAGTCCTAAATTCGCCCTCGCACGTCAAACTCAATAGTATCACTTTCTCCACGTTCGTTCTCATTTATTAGGTCAATTGCCAGCTAATTCATTTGTCTCACAAAATTATTTACTCGAAACTTGTCTCTAATAATTTTCTAATGGTTCAAGACAATACAAAGATGCATTTGGTACATATGAAAGTACTACGCAGTAAAGAAAAAAAAAAAGAAAAGAAAAAGGAAGCATATGAATAGTAAGGTCCTTTTGGCAGTATTTATTTATTTAATTTTTTAAATTCTGCTTCTAATAAAAGAGTTTCTTAAATAAGTTACTTTAAATCTATTTCCTTTAAAAGATTTCTAGTCAAACAAAGTACTTTCAGAAAATTATCCAAAAATGTTTAAAAATAGCTTCATAAAATTAAAAGCTGCTTTTTAACTTTTTAAATTTCATACCAAACGATTCCTAATTGGCACGATACAGTGTAATAGTTAAATAAATAGGCACTACACATGTTCTTACAAACAAAATTTACGTTGCAACAATGTGTTGATGAAATGGAAATGGGAAGCAGAAGTTGCCTAATTTAAAATCAACTATAGACTTCTACTTTCTTGTGAATGACAGGACTATTACAGAAATATTTCTAAATAAATGGATTTTCTTCTGTCAAAACTTGTTTATATCCATTGGTCGGTTTCTTAAGCTATTAATTATGCTTTGCTCATCTGAGTCATTACATCTAAATTTGTTGTTACTGTCACTATATATATCATGCTAAACATTTAGATTGGACAGTGATAACAATTTCTTATGTCATTTTGGTCATTCAACCTAATTTATCTTCTGGTTCTTGGAAATTCTTCGAGTTCCTTTAGAATGAGCCAGGTACATTCATCTAAAATATATATTCAAACAGCCCTTCCTGTGCAGGTCGCGCATTGTTTCGTCAAAGGTAAGTCAAGTGCACAATTTACATAAATGATCGGTGAATCAAGGTTCTTTACCCAACTCCAATACCATGGTCACCTTCTCATCCAAAATTTTAAGTTACTAGATAGGGACGATATATGTTTATTCCTAAATAAAAATAATAAAATAATAGTAACGAACTGCTAGGCAATTCAAAGAAGAAGCAGGTGCAACCTTTCAGGGTCCTAAAGCCAATGTTCAAATCACATTTTCAGGATACAGACGTTTCACAAACCCGATATTGGCAGGTTTTGAACTCACAACGCCCACTCCTATTTTACTTCCACATGTAGAAGAACTCAGTATAAGTTCTAGGAAGTCTTACCTCAAAAGAGTCCCCTATCTGTCCATTTTGGAAGTGTGAAAACCTTGCCACTTCTCTTTCTTAATTTCTGCAAGAGCAGGAAAACCTTAAACACCATTTCCTATAGCAACCGATGCGACTCTGCTGCTAGTGTTTTTCTACTTTACTGTTTTAACAACTTTCTTCAAATAACAATCTAACTGATCTCGAATACGTAATAAAAGCAATAGAATCTTACAGGTTTTCAACGTGTTCTTGCTGACTCATGTTCCCCTGCTGTTTACTTTCCATGACTGGTCTCCTGAATTTGTGTCTATTTATGTGAATCCCTTGGCATTATCAGGGGTGGAGTTAGAATGGGGTTCAGTAGGGGCTAAAGACTTTGGAAAATAAGCCAATAACAAAATAATATTAAAAATGTCACAACAATTTACCATTGTTCCCAACAGGTTTTCACACTTCGGAAACCACGCATAATGACATCATCGTCTATTTTTTGGAATACATCGTTTTCAGTATATACAACTAAGTTGTCATTCATCCACCGATCTCCAATTTTATTGCGCAATCGAGCCTTCACAATGTTAGTTGCAGTCAAGACTCTTTCAACTGTAGGAGTAGCAATGGGAAGAATTAATGCCAAATTCACAAGCTTGTAAACTAATGGATACGCTTCATTTTTCTTAGTTGCAGTCAACTTCTTTGAAAGATTACTTAGGCCCCATAATTCTTCGAACTCTTTGCTAGAGCGCATAACAATGATATAACTTTCAAGTTGATCATCAAGCTTCATGCACTCTGTTGGTGAAAAATCTTTTGGATAATACTGAGCAAGGCGAAGTAACTTTTCCTTATCAAAAGCCGAGAATGAATCGTTGGGGCATAAGCATGCTACACAAAGTAGCAGCTCATTATTTATCTCAGTGAATCGATCATTCAACTCTTGAAGTTGCATATCAATGACATCATAGAATAAACCCTCGCGGAAGTAATGCAACTTTGTCATTTCTTTAGTATTCCGCCCTGAGCGACCTTGATGTATAAACGTCCCATCCATGTTCAGAACATCAATATCGTGCTTTTGACAGAAAGAACATACTTGTTCCAAAAGAGAATCCCACCCATTCTCCCTCATCACTTGGAGTTGTTGTTTACATACTTTCACTAAACTTATGGCATTGACAATATCTTTATCTTTCCTTTGTAATACCTTCGACAACTCATTGGAAATTCCTAAAATAGTTCTCATGAGATGTAGACTAAATGCAAAGTCAAATGAAGGCATCCCATCTGATAAATATTTTGCCCAAAATCTTTGATCACGACATGATTCAATATCAATAATCATTTCAAGGACATCACGTATAGGTGAGAACATGGTAATCAAAGTGGTCAAAGTACCATAGTGTGATCCCCAATGTGCATCATGAGGAGAATTAACGGTACTATGCTGATTGAGACTTTGTCAACTTGAAATCTCACTGTTCTGGAGTGCATTTGAAATTATGGCTGCTTGTTTCTCTCTAAGAAGATCACAACGATTAGACAATACTCCGACAATATTCACCATCCTAGAAACCAAACTGAATAGCGATCCAGTCTCCATATGATTCTTTGCAACATCTACAAGAGCTTGTTCAAGTTGATAAGCAAAGCAATGAACGTAAAAAGCACATGGATTCTCTTTCAAAATAAGTTCTTTGAGACCATTAAACTCACCTTGAATATCACTAGTCACATCATAACCTTGTCCTCTCAATCGAGAAATACTCAACCCGTATCTAGAGAATAATTTATCTATGGAAGCCTTAAGTGAGAGAGATGTGGCACTAGAAACGTGTTCAATACCCATAAAACGTTCAACTACACATCCAGTGTTGTTCACGCAACACAATAGACATTTGCTCCTCTTGTGAGACATCGGGAGACTTATCAAGTAGAATTGAGAATAAGGCATCACCAATACTTCAATAATAAAACTCAGCGTTTCAACAGCAGCAACACTTGCAATATCATTTTGAATATCACGTGATATTAAAACGAGATTCTCAGGAGCATTTTCCATAATAGCCTTAATCTCAGCATTTTGGTCGGCCAGACACTGCAAAAGTTGAATAAAGTCGCGTTGATCTTCTGAAGCTACAAATTCATCATCATCGAATACAAGCCCTTGTCGTGTGAGAAACCGAACACAATCAATTGATACACTCAAAAGCGTCCGAGAACCAGCTAGCACGCGTGCTCCTTTAATTATATCTTTCCTTGATTTCTCTACATCATCATTTTCTTCAGTAGAGAATGGAGATTTTCGTTTAAAATATCTCTCCATAACTTCCTACATGTCAAAAAGAGCAAACTCACTTCAACTAAAATGTCCATAATAAACAAAAATTAACCATTTATATGATTAACAGAACTCGAATTAAACATGCCAGTAATAATCAGCTCAATTAAATATGCTCACATCAAATTATACATAAACACAGTAAGCCCAATAAACTCTGTTCAAAAGAACCCACATTATATATGCCACTAAATTAACTTCTATTTCCTTCACTTAGTTACTCCACAAGCAGTAAAAATGAATTCTAGAACACTAAACGAGCAATTCCAAATACATTCACACAGTTGAACTATAATGTTAATTCCCATAAACCAGTTAAAGAAAAAAGAGAATCAACAGAAAAAAGATACCCAAAAGGACCCTGATTGCTAGAAATCTTGACTAAGGACCAACACGTGCATTTTATGCATTTAGTCAGTGTTCTAATTTAGGGTTAACTCATAAAATTGTGGATTGATGTTGTTAAAGGAGAAAAGGGAATTTACCGATGAAAGAGCTGGGAGCGTCCGACGAGTTGCTATTTTGTTTTCAGCTGTACAATATAGGGTTTTAGCAAGAATAGAGAATGAACTATGAAGAACGAGACCTCAGAGGGAAAGAGGTTTTTGTTTCAATTTAGTGAAGATATTTGTGCCTTTGGACCCCAACTTATTGTCATAGCTGCAGTTCATTCCCAATTTTTTCTTTCCATTTTTTCCCCGACATTTTATCTTTATTTTTAATTAAAATAAAGGAGGACAAGGTAAAAATTAGAGGGAAAAATGTTTCCCTATCCCGCATTTCCCTCCCAACACTTATTATTTATATTATTTTTTAATTTAATTATAATAAAAATTTAAAAATTATACTCAGAAACAAATATACCTAAAAGGAAGACAAATGAAAATACGTTAATTACTATCCCAGCTAAAAATTTCTTGTCGAATGGCGATAGAGAGGGATTCCCCAACCTCATTGCTAGTCCATTGGACTATCACTTTTAGTGCCTTTACAGTTCCTCCAATCACTTCAAATAAACATAGATAAAGTGGTACCGTTCTTTCAATAAAAAAAAAATCTTGAGAAGAATAGTCCCGCATGGGGTGGGCGAGTTTGTGGACTAGATGAGCGCAAAGGTCTTTGGTCGCGAGTTCAATTCCCCTTACCAACACATTCTCAGTCGAGCCTGTCGCACAAGGCTTGCCTAATACGTTTTACCTGGGTAGCATGATTTGCGAGCTATTGTGTCAACTAGAGGGTTTATCCAGTGCGCACCCGAAATGTAGTGGCTGCGGGTTCTCCTGTCATTAAAAAAAAAAAATCTTGAGAAGAATAGAAGTATATGATTCCATTGAAAATTTTGACCCAATCAACCATTTCAAACTTGGATAAATAATATCAACTTTTGAACATAAACAAACCACTAAACAAAACTCATAGGTTAAAGTCGTAAAGCTTAACAATTATATGACCTGACTAATGAACTGATTTTGAATTGAATAATATGTCAAAATATCACAACAAAATCGGGAAACTCCCTCATTCAAAGGAGGCTAATTTCGCTTTGGCGAGTAGGACATCAAGTTTAAGCCTATGCTTGGTCCCCATTTTTTCAAAAAATCATTTTTTCAAAACTCATTTTCAACTACACATTCTTATATAAAATAATTTTACACGCAACCAAAATTTTTTCTTTATTTTTAACTACACATTCTTCAACAAACACACTATTCTAAAATGCATTTTGGCCAAAAAAAGGGAGGCTCAAACAAGGGCTAAATTTGAATTGTTGTAATGAAAATGGAAAAGATACAAAAATAACATGGAAAATAAGTGTACACCACAAGAAGCATTGTAGGATGTATTTTTGGTTCTAGATGGTTCAAGGACTAAGTTATCAGAAGTAGAAAATGCCAAGGATTAACTTGCATAAAATAGTAAACATAAGGACCAATTTGATGCTACCAGAGAGAATAGGGTCTGATTTATGAAAGAAATTGAAATTCTAGGGGCTATAATGTGTAATATTTAAAATTCAGTGACCAATTGGAATCAAACAAAAAGTTTGGGGTTCTGTTTGTAACTTATAATAGTTCAGGGACCATTTGGAATATTCCAAAAACTTGGGGACCTAGATTAAAATAAATACTTTTCAAGGAATAATTTGCAACACCTAAAAGCTTTTGGGTCAGACACACATAATAAAAAAAGGAGGGACCAAGAGGGAGATTATGAGGTCAAATCAACCTAGAATAATCTAGATTCTGGACAAAGGAGATATACAAAGGTAAATGCAATTTGTACATTTCAAAGTGTGCAATAAGGTTGGAACTTGCTTAGTTTAAAAAAATATCGAGAGAAAACCTTTTTTTTATTTTTTTTTATTTTTCGAATGACAAATTGTCAAATTCAGTTACACTTTGGTTTATATCAATCATGATTTATATAAGAACCAAGCTCCACGTATAGCTGCCACATGGACCTTGTACATGCTAGGAAGCCAGCTGACCCTTGTGATATGCCTATAGGGCCAAATGATCCCTGTACTTATATTATTTTCCTTTATATAAAGTATGGAATTATCCGTTAACAGATTTGGACCGTTTGTAAATTGGGATAATGATCAATTGGAGCAAGTATTACTGAATCATGTTATAAAAGCTACAAATTAAAGCTAAATGCAAATTCTGGATGCCATGCAGGACTTTAACAAAAATGTTATTGAAGAATATAGAAGGCCAAACGGCCATTATACCCATATAATTGATCTCTTACCTCAGTGGAAAGCAGTAGAAAGTTTTTATCTCTCATTGAAAATAGAAAATCAATTCTAATTAAGATTCTCTTGCTATATTAGCGGTGAAAAGTTCTTACCCGCTAAAGGTAGAAAAATTAAGCTTCATGCACACATAAATAGGAAAAATCAATCCTCACACATAAATTAGAGTAAGCTTGGTCCACAAAGCTAGAGGAAATCAGGTTAAGAATAAAGAGTTTTTGTTCCAACTTTCAAATACACTTTTAAGATAATTGGAAAAGTTAGTAGGTGATTCTATGATATCGTCGGAGAAAATTATTCCTAGTATTGGTCTTGCAAATAATATGAGTGAAGGCACCACATTTCTAAGTCAACATTTGGATTCATTTGTAAAGATTACGACGAGACTATGGGCTTTTAGAACTTCTAGATTTATGAACTCTCCTTTGGATAGTAATTATAAACATTTAAATTTATTAAGTCTCCTTCAACTCGCGAGCTCTGAAACCAGGAGACATTAAACTGGAAATATGATAACACGAAACTAGAACAAATTAAGGTGAATGCAATTGTAAAAATAATGTTCAAAAGAATTATATTATGTAGATAATGCAACTAAGTTGATTGAAATAGTGATAACCTAGTACTCTTTGTAACGTAAAAAACTTAAAAATGTTCTTTGCTCAAGAGAGTTGATTAAATCTAACCTTAAATAAAAAAAGGCAATGAAGGGTCATTGTAGATGCAATAGTAACCAAATCCCATTTTACTGTACAAATATGGTGTCATCTTGGTCAAAACGTGTTGTCCACTTCAACAAAGCAAATCTTCTTCTTTCTTCCCATTTTTTTCCCTACTATATAAAAAAAAATTCAATCAAGGTTTACTGTACATGCAATAGTGATTTAATTCCCTTCCAAAATGATGCCCTTTTTTATTTGCTTTCCTATTGTTGCTTTTTTCTTCTCAGACACGCAAACTTCTTCTTTGGTCTTATTGCTATCCATTTTTCAAATTTTCATCTGACACAAGCAACATTTCTCTTCTTTCTTTAGCCTTTTCCAACTCTTTCTTTCCCAAAATTTCCGTCCTTTGTTCGAAATTCTTCAGAAGAACCCAAAAAAATTGTGGAATATTGAGATTTATACATGTAGAATTAGAATCCTCAAACCTTCATTTTTCTCTTTTTGTAAATGGTTATTCCATTTCCTTTAGCCTTATTGGTCTTGTGTTCGACATTTTTCTCTTTGTCTGCGTTCCAAGTTTTCTAAAACCTTCCCCAAAAAAGTGGAAAATTTACCCAGAAATTAGTGATTGGCGACATGAAGTATGTCGATTTAATATTTTCTTAGATTTAGGGTTATTTTCTTTTTGTAAACATTTCATTTTATCTATTTATTCTTGATGATTTTAGGTTAAAATCTTGTATGTGTATCAACTAACCTTTTTTTTTTTTTTTTTTTTTATATTAGCGTATAGGGTTCCATTCTATTCTTAAGTTGATGGAATTGAAGCTAGTAGTGGTGCCACTCCGCCAGGTAAGATTTTTGAAATAAATTCATTTTCTTAGTTGATTCTTGATGGTTTTGGATAGAAATCTTCCTTCTTCATCATTTAATTGACTATTCTTTTTGTTGTTAAGATCTATTTTGCCTTAAGTGTTTCCATTTTTTGGGTTGAAGATTTATTTCTTTTGAATTTTTAGATTTTTTCAGTTGATTGTTTATAATGAGTTGTCAGTAAATTTGTAATAGGTTGTTGGCTGTTGATTTCTGTTTGTTTAGGGTATCAACGCTTAAAACATGTTTATCACGCAACATAATATGTGAAGATGACTACCAAATTGTTATAGGCACACTTCTGGTAACGAAAATATGTAAAAAATTTAATGTATTGAAACCCATAAAAAAGTATGCATTGGAAAAGAACTTTTACAAAAGAATTCCTGTCTTAATAAATCTAATCAGTATAATCAATCGTGTCAGATACTTATTGAACAACTATATGAGGAAGATTTCTACTCAATGGTACCTATCTCCGAGTTAATGAGGTAGGATCAGATAAAGTCCATGTAAATCAAAGTGCCAATGTTCATTTTGTAACGATCAACACTTCTTTTGCATTTAATTTTGGACATTTTCAACATCATGGTATTTCGACATAATTCTTTGATTATCAATTCGAAGTTCAATTTTTTTTTATTGATTCATTGTTTACTTTTGTAATTCCTCTCTTTTGTTGCCTCTTAATTTAAATGCTTGTTCCTCTATTTATGCTTGCTGCGTGGCTGCTTATTTCTAGCTTTTTCCTTTGGTTGGGGAATATACATTGTTATAATTTATATTCTTGATTTTCTATTCTATATCTTGTTTTGACTTCTGGTTCCTACATTTATTTTGCTTCGAACCATTTCAAGAATTATGATATTTGTGTAAATTTTTTGACTTACCTTAGCATAGTGTTCTAAAGTTACCAACAATTCTAAAACCTCTGATGGGATTAATCAGCCAATAGAAGTTTGAAAAATCTTGTGTCTATAGTTATTGGTTTTTATTTTCGAACTTCAGCCATTTCCGTTTTGTTCACGAGCTTGTAATTATACTTATGGACTCTACAATTTTTTTACTTTGGGACATTGCCCTGGTTTTGGAAGGTAATTACTTTTGTGTTTTTGACGAGAACTCTATCTTGACTTTTCGTTGTCTTCTGTGATTGCACAAGCCAGGAGAATTTTTCCTATATTTTAGTCTCAATGCAGAAAATGAAATGTTGCACACACTTTCATTTTTAGCAGGCATTATGAAGATGGAATTCTTTGTGGCTCACCCAATTTCTACAAGTAGTTTTGGCTCATTCCA